CGGAGATGTAACAGTATTTATATAATGGCTTAAAACACTACAAAAAGCGAAGATGTCCAATAAGTTTTTATATGCTCATGTATTAATTCATGACATTGTGTAGTTTTTATTCATTTCTTCTATAGGAGTTGCTTCATTAAATGCTAAGTTCATTTTTAGTTCCAATCAGAAAACACTAATGATCTTCTCTGCCATATGACTGATGTTTTATCTAATTAAAGCCAGTTAAACCACTAATTAGTCGGGATTACGTTACCCTTTGTCCAACTATAACGGTAACTGGATCATTATCAAATTCCTTGATCCGGCGTGGAATTATTTTAATACTGCCAATTTTACAAAAATATCTTGGAAAGTTTTATCAAACTATCTAAATTAATACTAACTGCTAATCAGTTATGCGTAAAAACAATTCCCCAAAGTCATTCATTCAGAAAGTAGGAGGATTTTCCAGTGATTATTGTGCCGGGAAAAACCTTTCCTGCATTTTGGGGCCGTAGTTGTGTTATAGGAGTAACGATCGAATTGTAATATTTGATTAGAGTAGCCCAAAAGTTTGCGGTTGATAACGTTGACAAGCTGCCTTTCCTCTTGTCTATCCAAACTATAAATATTTTTGCATCAGGAAAGAGATGTTACATACCTTTCCCAAAAGCGATCAGTTTTTGGTATCATCAAACTATCTACGCCTCTAACAATGTCAAAATGTAGTTCTGATACATACTGTTCCACCACTATTTCATAGCAGCTGTGGTTTTCAACTAACCATATGATTTTCATATTCAAAATCGCTTTAATATAACGTATCGAACCCTATGTATGTGTATATATATATATACATATGTGTAGAAATGGAAGGGCATAGCTACAGAATTATACGCCCCAGTGGCACAGCGGTATGTCTGCGGACTGACAACGCTAGAATCCGGGTTTCGATACCCGATAAATTCTGAACACATGTAGTTAAGATCATGTATAAATCTATAATTCTTAACACTTACTTATATGAGTTATATATATGAACTAAAATGTGTGAAAAGTATTAATTTTATTACAAACATTTTATTCAAATATTTATCTAAAACATTACTTAAAAAGATGGAGGGTTGAAACCCATATTTAGCTACGCCTACGAAATGTAATGTTATGTATATGCTTGTTTGTTAATTTTCGGTATAAATTATTTCCGAGGAACTTCAGCGATACAAGTCCTTTCTTAATTCAAACTAGTTTATTCTTTCTTGATATAACTTTGTAATACACAAAATTTCCACAGTCACTTTAAACTTAACTACTTTTATAAACGCACGCTATAAATGTCTGGCAAATGGTTATACCGAGAAA